CCTAAATGTGGCCTCGCTGAATGTCATCTCCAACCAGGAATGTAACATCAAGCACCGAGGACGCATACGGGAGAGTGAGATGTGCACTGAGGGACTCTTGGCCCCTGTGGGAGCCTGTGAGGTCTGTACCAGGGTCCCATTCCCAGCTCAGGGAGGGTCTGGGAAGCTGAAAATGGGCTACTTTATCCACAAGGGGGCTAGTCTCTGCCTTGGCCTAGGGCTCTCTTACCAGTTCTTCCATCTACCAGGGTGACTACGGAGGCCCACTTGCCTGCTTTACCCATGACTGCTGGGTCCTGGAGGGAATTATAATCCCCAACCGAGTGTGCGCCCGGCCCCGCTGGCCAGCCATCTTCATGCGTGTCTCTGTGTTTACGGACTGGATTCACAAGGTCATGCGGCTGGGCTAGGCCCAGCCTTCAATCCCATTTACTTTGGAGAGAGAACAAAGGTTGTTGTCAGACATAAAGCTGCCTCTCCTCTTTACACCTGTGCAGGATGCTTCTTAGCCTCTGCTAGGAAATCAGTTGCTGTATGCACGTGGTTCAAGCCCAGCATAGCTGGGTTAGGAGACCTGGTTTTTAGGACTACCTTAGCCTGTGGCCACTGTGGAAGAGCAGGGCCTCACTAGTTCCCTAGACAAATTGGTGGTAAGAGAAGGGTGGTGTAGGGCAGTTTCTAACAGAAGGAGCTGCTGCAGAGACAGCTAGCCTGGGAGTATCCCAGTTGGCCCTGACAGGCAGCAGCTGAGCCTCTCACTGTCCCCTCCCTCTCACATTGGAGGTAGGTGAGGTCCTTAAGGTTACCACACCCAGAGCCTATGGTCTCTCAACCCCCAGGGTGAGGCTGGAGTTAGGGATAGCTTGGTACAAAGTACCAGCAGGAACCAGATTCTGTGTCCTCATTTATTATGACTGTATAGCCTACATTCCTCAGCTCACCCATCCATGGAGTCCAGAGCCCAGGAATCCTCTTGCCGATCTGCCAGACCCTGGGGCTCTCCAAGAGGAAAGTGTGGCTTATGCCAACCAGCTCATGCAGGGAGGCATGGCTTCAGCTGCCCAAGTGCGTGTGCAGCCAAAGCACAGCATTCATGAAGCTGTCTGACTCCACCTCCACTTCTGAAAGTGCATGGGTGCTTTTGGGATAGAGCAGGAGCCTGTAGTGGTCGGGCAGCAATGTTTGAGATTGGACAGCTCTCCCTGCTCACCTGCCCACCAGCTGCCAGGGCTGTCCTGATGCACTCACCGAACAGGCACGTTCCGGGCCTTGAGGGCACGGTAATACTCCATGCCTTGCTTGAAGGGCACACGCCGGTCCTCCTGGCCTAGCATCAGTAGTAGCGGTGTCTTCACCTGGGGATGTGGGGAGTGGTAGTGAGCAGGGCCCCAAGGCTCTGGACAGATTGGCAGCACACTGGGCAGAAGGAGGGATGTATACCTGAGGGGTATACTTGATGGGTGACTTGTCCAGCATCTCAGCCCACACGCTGACGTCTGGCAGGCAGTCACTGCTGTAGGGGAAGCCAGCCTCCACCACGCACCTGCAAGAGACTGCGCTGATGCAGCCCCAGGAGCCCCGAAGCATGTAGGGGCTCCATGGGGGTATGAGGTGAGACAGAGAAGGGCAGGGACCTGTGGAGCACACTCACCAGTCAGGGATATCAGTGGAGCCCATCATGGAGGCAATGTTGATCACAGGGTTCCTCACTACACAGGCACTGTAGGTCTCAGGATACTGACCAATCAAGTGGCAGGAGAGGAAGCCACCATGGGAACCACCCATAAGAGCTACTCGGTCAGCATCAAAGTGTTCCTCCCGGAGCACCTGCTCTACTGCAAACTACAGGGTGGGGCAGAGTGTGCTGCAGCCAGCTGCCCACCCAGCTGAATGGAGCACACCCTAACGGTTTACCCCCCAGCCCCTGCTACCTGGACATCCTTCACATCCTGGTGGCCCACGTTGCCGGGAAGGGAGAGGATGCTGTCCTGGCCAAAACCCGTAGAGCCACGATAATTCACTGGAAGCCAGAGAGGAACCAGACAGGGTGATTAAGGGACATTCCCAGCCCTCTGGACACTCTTTTCACCCATCTGTGAAGTAGGCTTTGAGGCCAGCTGTACCACAGACTGTCAAGGCGAAGGGGCCAAGAGATTTGAGGCTGTTGCCCAGTGACCACAGCACTTTCCATGGAAGTCCCCATGGAGCCTGAGGCTGGGCCACGCCAGTTCCTGGTGATGGTTGCCAGGTCCAGGCTGCAGAGAAGCCTGGACACTAGGGTGGTACCTATGATGCTTGTACAAACCAGACCACTCCATCACCCTCCACAGCCTTACCACCGCCACAGCGCCCTGCTCACTCACCTAAGAGTACTGCAAAACCCATTTTGCAAAGCATGGCTGGGAACAGCATCCAGGCAGTGACAAAGGATGAATGGGGTCCCCCTGCAGACATGGAGCAGAGGGTGAAAGAGCCAGCTAGGACGAGTGATGAGAGGGCAGGGGCTCCTAGACCAGGTGCCTACCATGGGGCATGACGACCATGGGCACTTGGGTCTTATCTGGAGGGTTGCTGGGCTGTAGAAGGATTGCTTCAAAGTCAAGGCCAACTGCAGGGAAAAGACAGCAGTCAGCAGAGCCAGTCCTGCTGCCCAGGGGCTTCCTGAGCTGTAGCTGCAGCTACCTGAGCTGTAGCTGTAGCTGGGGCTGACCTCTGGAAGAGTGATCTGGCCAAGGTAGCCTGCACTGAGACACTTGGACCCCAGGAGTCACACTCCTGCCCTAATCAAGGACCCCAATCAGTTGGAACAGCATTTTGGATGAGGGGTGGCCAGAGACCTCAAATAAGGCCTGTCTTCTTTGAGCCTTGGTTTCCCTACTGCAGAGGATTTGGCCTGGTGATGCCCAGCCCTGATACCCAGAGTAGGTGTCCAGATACCCAGAGTAGGTGTCCAGATACCCAGATGCTATTCCCCATAACCATGCCTAAGAGGAACAGAAAATCTCTTAGAGGTAATCCCAAGAAACCCCACAATGTGAGACCGGAGTCAAGAACGGTGACCACAGAAGCCGTGTGCTGGGGAACTTGGAGAAGGTGTCCCTCTGCCATGGCCCAGCTCACCATACTGCACATTCTCTTGCTCTGGCGGTGGCTGCAGTACCCGGATGGCCCAGGAGATGTCCGGAATAGGCTCAGCCTCCTCCAGGGACACCCACAATACTGCCTGCTCCTTCCCTGCAGGAGGCAGGAACCCAACTTTCTGCCAAGGGGAAAGAGTGTGTCATAGGTGGTCTGGCTGCCTCCCTGCCCTTCTACCTCTGTCCAGGGTGGGAGGTGGGCAGCTCTCACTATGCTTGGGCCTTCTACCCACCTCCAGAGGGTATATCCTCCAGAGAGACTCCTGTTGTGAGCTGGTATATACAGAGGCACAAACACGCACACACCTCCCTTCTGAGCCTTTAGGTTCTACTGTCTCCTTGTGCTCTGCTACGTCAGAGTATTGGCCACTTTCCCAGGCACCCTGTTCTTTATAGAGCAGACCTACACCTGGTAGTTCCAATGGGTGCCAGACCTTGTGGACCATCCTGGGCCTGCGTCTTGGTCTCTCAAATGCTAACCAGCCATAGTCAGACTCAGGCCAGTTCTCTGACCTAGGGAGCTCTGCCTACTCAGAACCCTCACCTCCTGGTCTGGGGCCCACCAACACTCACCAGGCTTGGGGGCAGGCTGGGCGTGGAGAACTGTGCCACCATGAGGTCCCGGTCAATTGCCAGCAGCTTCCAGCTTCCACCAGAGCCCCCTGGAGAAGGCAGATGCTACCACCTTTCCCACCCACTCCCTGCATAACCAGAGTCCCAGGCTGGTGGCTGTATTCCAAGGTGTCCCTTTTACCTTGAGAAGCAAAGGGATACCCACAAAAGGACACCCTACTGCACATAGCCATGGGCGAGCCTCCTGCTTAGTCCCTTGTTCATCCAGCAGATGCTAACTAAGCCCAGGGACTGCCAGATCTGGGGACACAACAGACTTCCATGGCACGTCCACCCACCACTTAATGACTACAGTCTTCAAGGCTGGCAGCTAGGCCTGGGGGGTTGGAGTGCTGCTGATTCTGGGCAGTGGGGTCCAAGGAGATTCGTAAGCAGGGAGTGTATCATGCAATACAGTTTAGGAACAATACTTTGAAAGCTTTGTGGAGGAATGACTATTGTCAGGGCAGGCATAGAACTCAAAAGACATTTTAGTGGCAGCGTCACAGGCCCACATAAGAGGAAGATGAGGGAGCCAACACAGGGTTCCTCATGGGCCTTGGGATGGCAGAGCCGCCTCTGAGGTTTTGGAGGCCAGGGAAGGATGACTCTGGCAGATCTTGGCAAGAGAAAACTTTGTAGGTTTGAGGAGCAGGGGTGTGCGGAAGCAGGGCCGGGATGTGCAGAGCAGAGTGGAGAAGGGAGGCAGTCTGTTGGCTGGGAAGGTCCTGCATGGTCAGGGTCCTTGAGAGATGCAGTAAAGGCTGCAGAACAGTCAGCGGTGCAGAGTGGCCCAGAGTGCCACTACTGCCCCATGTGCTGGAGTCCCAGTCCCACCCCTGGCCTGGCTGGCTTGCTCACCAGCCCTGCTCACCAGCTGTCAGGGAGGTCACAGTGCCCATCTGGGTGTCCACAACAAACAGGTCCTGAAGCAAAGGGGAGCCCACATGTGGCACCACATCCAAGAGCCCTATGAGTCCCTCTCCCACCTCCTCTCTTAGGGACCTGTGGGCCAGGGCAGGGCTGTAAGCAATTATGGCAATAGCTCCTCAGTGCAGTAAGTAGTGGCTTGAAGGCCTGGACTCAAATCCCAGCCCCATCACAACTTGCTGCCTGACTCTGGGCAAGGCAAGGAATGCCTCCGAGCCCCTGAAGTAGCACGAGGAACAAATGATATCACACTCAAAAGTCTGGCACACTGTAGGTGTCTCCACCCAATTCCTGGGAGAAAGCCTCTGTCCCATCTCTGTCAGTTCCCTGTATAGTGTTTGGGGACCCACCCTAGTGGCAGCCCCCTTGTTCTCCAGCTGGAAATGCCTGGGAGAAGGGGAATCACACATTTGCCTCAGGAGGAAAGGCCAAGGGTTCTGTCATGGAGCACCAGGGCAGGCAGCAGCCTTCTCAAGAAAAAGTAAGTCCAGGACAGGGGCAGGCAGGGAAGGGACTCTCAAGACCTTATGGCTAGGAATTCCAGCTAGCAGTGTGCATATGCTATGCCCCAGGCCCAGGGCTCCTGGAGGTTGGTCAGAGAGTCTGCCTCTCAACACAGGGCCCCTTACCTGCCGGCTACGCTGAGCTGAGTCAAAAACCACTCTCTGGCTGTCAGCTGACCAGCATCCCAAAGGCAGAAGGCTGCAGTAGATCCCAGAGAAGTCCCCTGC